AGAAATTTGGGTTGAAACTGTGTAAAGCTTGTATAAGACCCAATTGTTCTCGAGACCGTGAGACCGAGGGTTTGTTTATAGTTTGGAATGGCCGAGGGTATCAAAAGTGCTGACCTTTGTAGAGCTCGAAACTAACGTGGCGTCCCGTGGTATATAGGCTTATGTGAGGGCGACCTCCTGCTATACAAGTACCCAAAAATTTGCGCCAAAGGTATTTGGCGCCACGTTAACGTTAGTACGGTCTGTAGCTATCTCCGCAACAGCTTCGACCGTTTGGGTGGCTGGTCGCGAAATAACGGCTGCGCGAAACGTCGAGTCATTCAAACCACCACGACTCTGATATAAGAACGCCAAAAGTTAACAAGGAACGGCCACGACTCCGCCATATATGTACGGTCAACATCATTGCTACGGCTATGACTCAGCGGTTAGACAACGCGAGGAGCCAAGAGGGGTCCAACGAGTAGAACACGTCCCAACAATTCGCAGCTGAACGGTCATCAGCACAGTACTTTCACAATTCTCATCAGAACAAACGGTACCGTCACAGTCGTCAACCGCAGTACGGCAACGAGCTTAGAGTAATATCACCGACTATGAAGACGAACGTCACTATCGCGAGACACGACGGTTAGGAAGAACAGCGGCCGCGGGGACGCGCCGCTACAGCTGCGGTGTTGGCCACTGGGAATACGGGACTGCATGCAAACGCGCGCGTGAGGTACGGTCGTTGCGGAAGTCGTACCATTCTATACGGGAGCGTTCTACGGTTCAACGTTTTCTGGTAAAAGTAGAAGATTTTATCGATGTAAACTGATAGATTCTCTAATTTGATTGTGTTCAGATTACCTTTTTCATGTACTGGAGACTTTTGTCAACGTAGGATGTGAACTTAAATTTCCCAATTTATTATGAAATGTACCAGTGTTTCATTACAACCCTCTCTCTGTAGGTTTTTTTTGCCGTAACCTATTCATGAAAGAACCTTTTACCTCGCGCCGCTAAAGAGAGTCTCTTGGAATCAACCCGACAAACGAAAAATTATGAAAATCTGAACCTGCACGTAATGTGAAATTTGAGGGAGTAATCCCTCCGATTGTTATACATTAAAATATATTAGGCAAAGCACTATCATTCACAGTTTCATATTTCGTCTTAATCAACATTTGTACACTGAAAGACAACTTCAACTCAGGCGGGTGTATTTATTGTAGAATTTAGGATATTAACTGCTTCAACTCGATTGAAGATATATAACATTTATTTGCTACGCCATTTACTCAAATGACCCTATTTTTGCGCAATGCAACGCTAGGCTCGTGCGTAGCTCGTGGCCACGCAGCGTTCACTTCTTTCCGCTTTTACGCCCCCTGTCGGGCCCCCAGGGACCCGCCGTTTTGATCTTACTTGACCGTGCCTCCTGGCCTAGGAGAATAGATCCGGGTCCATGAATTGAAGCCCCAAAGTCAAGCTTGATCTTTAATTACATTCAGTACGCGTTTCTAACACTTCAATTTGGCTTTACGTTAATTTATATCAGTTTACATTAATTACGATCGTATGAGATTATCCATGCCTGAGCCATGTGGTGCGTACGTGCAAAAAAAGTTAATTGCGCAATTTTTTTGCACAATTATTTTCACACTATTGTTTATGAATCTAAGAAGTTATCCCATTCTAATACCATGGTGAATATCTCAGGTAGTTATTCAATTTTTTTAACGACTTATGGTAATGACAATATGAACGCATACGGTATCTCTGGGTATTTATATGAAATTAAATAATATTGAATTGTGACAAACAGCATGTAATTGAGGCTTCATTAATGGGATATTTACATTAGGAAATCTTGATTTTGGGAACATTCTCACCAGTGATCATGTATTAGACAGCTAATAATTAACGCTGAATGATAATTATTTAAGCACGACAAAGTTTCGTTGCGTTTTCTTATCCGCCTAACGCAGGCTCGACAGCGAGGAAGGTCCAAAAAACGACATTCTGATTAACATTTACTCGTATCTTGCCGGCGTAAAAAAACGTTTGTTTGATGGCTCAGGAAATGCACTAAGACTAACTATAATACAGTGACGTATTTACGTATGTGACGTATTAACACATAACAACCTGATTGGGCAAACTCAAACTCTCATACAGTACATTTTCTATGACACTTTCAAGACCATACAATGAATAGCCACTAATTCAGCAAACTATTAAACAAATACGGGATCAAAAGTATCTATAATCTCCCTCGCGGGAGTCTCGAGCCAGAAGGACGCGTTCGATTTTGAATCGGCGGTGTTTATTTCCAACTTCCATGCGAAATCCTTCCGATTTAGCGTTTTTAACTTCGCTCTCATAAATACCTCCCGTTCAATAATTTAAACACAACGTTTCGTGAGCAAGTCCGATTTTGTAGTTACACTCATGAGCTTATCGATCAACAATTGATTTACATTAGTTTTACACGTTCAGGTGAACATGGCAGCTAAAATCAAACATATTATATATTCTTCAAGAAATTTTGTTCGTGAAAAGTAGTTTTAATCCATTACAAATCGCGACGATTTTTCTCCACGACTATAATAAATTCATTCCATTCATAATTGCATTTGACCACCGAACTGAATTCAGATTTTTATCTGAAAAATGTTGAATGGATTGAGAATCTATCATCTGCCGAAGAGATTCCAAATCCGTCATTACATTCATGATTTTATTCATCCCTGTGTAATTCAGGCAATTGCCATACACTGATTGCTTTCATAACGGATTAGGAATACGGATAAGTGACGCGATGTGTAAATAAATACTTCAACAATGCAAATGGAGTAAGAATTTTGCTCTCTATTTTGGAACTCACATTTCATCGACGATCATAAATTCATTATTATATTTTCACATCTAAAACATTTTATTGTTTACTGTTGATAAATGTTTAATTTAGACAGAATGTTACGAAGTAGGTCGTTATGTTTGTGATTCATGATATTTTTCTCTTCTAAATTCCTTCACAACTTACCAGGAAACAAATTTTACCGTTTATGTAATGTACGTAAGTTCCCGCACGCTTGGAGAACACAAACAGGTTTGGCGCATGACGCGAGGCTGCAGTTGGAGAGTTTAATTGTGACGTAAGCAAGAGCATTGGAAACGCAGTTTTGAAGTCCAAAGCTCGCTCTAATTTCATTTTTTGTTTTGAGCACCTCGTCTCTTGTTTGAATCGTTTATTGAAGTTATTACTGGTCAGTTATCAAATGAAGCTAGCACAACAAACTCGGCCATCTTCAATATTACAGTTCACGCATATCGTATGCTCAGGATGCCAGTATATATAATGTTGAGCCAGCAAGACTTGCAAGACACTTTTTTCCGGGTTCGCCTGGAAGAACTGGTATATAGTTCAACCATGAGTTAGTCGCTCTCCTCATTCACTTCTCTTACTCCGTGTCGTCAGGTGTGTGTATAGTTCGCTCCGTAATCTTCTATCGCGATTCATTACATTATTTTATTTATATTTTTTTCGGATATGACACATTACTTATAGACTTATTCACTATTAACTCATAGACTGATATAGAAAATAACAGCAACTGATCTGTGAAATTGTTCATTCATCCGTCTATATTTTGAGTCAAGGTGGCCAAATTTGTGCTTTTGATTCAATAACTGCTAGCGTTTAAGGCCTGTATATTTCTGTACGTGAACATAATAAATGCATATTTTATGTTCTAGAAATGATCTTGCAAATTCAAAGTATGTCAATGTGTGCTAGTAATATCAGAGTTCGAGAACTTTGATTTGTAATTACTGAAAATAGTCTAGCACCTTTTTCTGTGTGGAAACTACTTGAACGCTTGAAAATGCTCATTTTATTTCTTTTCCTGTTCAGGATGCAACTGAACAAAAATACCTTCTTTCTTACCTTTGTTGGAAGTTCACGCAGAATAATAAATGTGTAATTTAGTCCAAATTATGAAAATGTTTCTACCACAGCACAAGCAGATAGAGGACGTAGAACTTATATTATCAGTCTGTTTGATTCGCAAGGATTCGCAAGGAAAGTTCACAAGGAATTTAAAAGTAAAGAAAACACCAAGCAAATTCACCGTATCGATATTGAAAACGTTTCGGAGTCCAGCTCCATCATCAATTCGACAATCTAAAAATAAATACAATCATTTTATAATTAAAAATTCCACCTTCTTTATTATTAAATTATTGAATATTGAATTATAAAATGATTGTATTCATTTTTTAGATTGTCTAACTGATGATATAGCGGGACTCCGAAACGTTTTCAATATCGATGCGGTGCCCTTTTGCCGGGACAAACTGGGTCAGGGTTACCACAACAAAAGGGCATACAGTGCATTACTATAGGCCCAATGTCTCACTTATTTCTCTGATTGTATAATAGTTTCTATCCTTCAGCTGGACCAAATCTGTGGTAATAAGTACAATAATTTGCATTTTTCAGTTAATTAAATTCATTCAACCACATAGTAATAAATATAAACCATTCGGTTCGCCTTCTTCGTCACGGCAATAATTTGAACCTTACAAACAAATTGATGTAATGTGTTGTTCAAGACAATGACAGCATCAATTAAATTCTTGATGCACATTTTTAACACCAAGCCATGGCTTCAAACTTATTTATTTAGCTCTCATTCATGGTAGTTGAGTTTAAGCGTGTTCAACAGTCACATTCTTGATGTTTCTATAATTTTCCAGCTATTTACTGGGCCTTGGAATCTTCACGGCATTGATGGGGGATGATTGCGGTGGAGGTGGCGGCGGCGGCGACAGCGGCGGGGGCGGTGGTTGCTATGATGGAGGTAGCAGCTCCTGGGTTGGAAGTGGCGGCGGGGGCGGTGGTTGCTATGATGGAGGTACCAGCTCCGGGGTTGGAAGTGGCAGCGGAGGCGGTGGTTGCTATGATGGAGGTACCAGCTCCGGGGTTGGAAGTGGCGGCGGGGGCGGTGGTTGCTATGATGGAGGTACCAGCTCCTGGGTTGGAAGTGGCAGCGGAGGCGGTGGTTGCTATGATGGAGGT